CGTCCTCGTCAAGCCAGATCAAACCCTAGCATAGTGCATGTGAGGCGCAACCCAGTGGTGGCTCCACGCCGTGACGAGTCCTCTGACTCCGTCTACGGGTAGCCCTTTCCTACTCGAGCCCCCTCACCATGCCCAAATGCTAGGTCGGCTCTGATACCAAATATTATGACTCGGGCCTGATGGGCTAACTGGCCTATCAACTTTGTTTAGTCTAAACCACTGACCAAAATGCTTAAGCTGAAGTTAATAGTAGTACACTCATCAGACTCTTATAAGTCAATCTTAATCTTGCCCACTTTCAATGTGGGACTAATCAGGGGTGTTACAGATGTGCTCTGGTCAGAAGCCAACAGATGCATTTAGGGATCAAATTTTGACCTAAATTATTTGCTTTGATCTGTCAATTTGAAGATCCAAATGATAAAAGCAACATGATAAATCTGCTCTGGAACTTATTTTTCACCTTTTAGATGCAAAATCAAGCCAATCAGTGTAGAACTTTGTATGGTCAAATTTCGAAATCTAAATTACCAAGAAGAGTACCAGAATACTTGCAGGTAGGACAAGCATTTGCAAATAATTAATTAAAGCTCAGCAAAAAATTGTTTTTGCAAATTGATAGCTTAATTAGTCATACCCTTGTCTTATGAAATTCCCTATTCATGAGATATAATTTTCAGAACTGAGACTTCACTAGTCTTGCTAAAAGCATTGGCAGACACCAAAACAGTAGACTATGTTTGAATCTTTTTTATCTAATGTAGCTCCAATTTGATAGCAAATACCAATTTAGTGCAGCAAAATCTTGTTCTTCTACTTGCTACATATAAACCATGGTAACTTTTGTTTAGTTGCATATAAAAATCCCTCAAAGTACATTAGCCAAATTTAAAACCAAAAGAGGGTGAAGGAACTCAAACATATACTCCTACATTCTTTGGCATTCGAATTAGTAGAGCTCTTAAGAATTTGGGTCTCTTTAAGGCATACAAGTTGTAGTGCTGAAGAAGAAACACCCAATTTCTTGAACAATGCGAGAATAAAATGCACAAACAAATTGAGCAAAGTAAAAAAGGGTTTCAAAGTTCTTCAATCTTCTGAATTGAATCGGATCCCAACTCGTGTTGCTCATTTCCAAATTTCAAAGATAAGCTTAAAAATAAGGAGAGAAGAATAAATATGGCTTACAAAGTTCCACGCCTCCTCGGGTCCCGTCACCGCCCGGTCGAGATTGGCTGAGGAATCGAACCATCACCGCTGCGGGGGAGCGTCATGACTCCGCCGCCTTCGGCGAGGCGGCGGCGGCGGCCTTCGTCTTGGGTTTCTTCTTGGCCTCCTTATACGCCTTGAGGTGGAAGTCGATGAAGAGGGCGAGGAGCGACGCGTTGAAGACAGCGTTGAAGAGCCAGCCGCGCATCCCTTCGCACCCGCCGCCTGTGAAGTGGTACCAGAGGAAGATCCCGGAGACGAGGAAACTGAAGACGAACTGGGCGATCTGGAGATCCGTGACGGCCCTCTTCCAGCGCGGGGGCCACCGCCGGCCGGCGCTACTGGAGAAGTAGTAGGCGTACATGACGACGTGGACGGCGGCGTTCGTGACGAGGGCGATCGGCATGAGGGACTGCGCGGTGGCGAGCCAGACGTAGCACATGACGACGACGACGGCGTGGTGGTAGACGTGGAGGAAGGTTAGGCGGCGACGGGGGACGGCGAGGAGGATGAGGAGGGTGTCGCCGAGCTCGTAGAGCTTGGAGAGGTAGAAGACGTGGGCCCAGAAGAAGAGGGGGCCGGCCCGGGGGATGGCGGAGGGGGGAAAGCAGAAGAGCCAGCGGGGGGAGGGGAGGCGGGCGGTGGCCGAGAGGGCGCAGCCGGCGGCCATGGCGGCGGAGAGGATGAGAAGGAGGAGGTTATGGGCGGAGGAGAGGAGGCGTAGGAGGGCTGGTGAGGGGTGGGGGAGAGGGATTATGCTGCGGCCGAAGAGGAAAACGAGGGTGAGGTAGGTGGCGACGGCGGTGGCGACGAAGGGGACGGAGGCGCCAAACGTCTCGTTGGGCCTCCACTCGAAGGATTCGATGACCGGGTGCTCCACCAGCAGCCGGCGCAGTTGCCCCTGCACCCAAGTCGCCATTCTCCCCACTTCCATGGTCTCCTCTTCTCTGCTGCTCCGCCTCCTGGTTTATTGGTGGAGGGAGAGGGATTTGGATGTTCGAAAGTACTCGTGCTCGACTCCGATAACCCAAAATTAATTTTCGGATTCGGGGTCAGGATCCAATCGATTCAACCTAATAATAACAATATTGGAGCTAATTATATATTAGCTTAGTAGATAAATCTAATTAGCATCTTGATCTTATACTTCAAAAAATTATATTAAATTTTATATAATTATGAAAGTATAAAACATTTAACCTCGTTTACTCTAATATTATCGACTTTTGTGACGGAACGCAATACATAATAACACTGATATGAAAATGATAGAAAATAATAATAATTTTAATGAGGATGATAGATGGTGGCATCATAATTGTTGTGATGGTGGTGGTCGATGACAATGACACAGTGATTAGCTTTGTCGATATTGATATGAATATCAACGACAAGAAGGAAGAGAAGGCAAAATGATAAAGTATTTACGTCGATATTGAATGAGGAAGAAGAGGAAGATGAGATATCTACATCATCGAGATAAGAAGAGAGGTGGAAGAGGAGGCAGGTGAGGTAGAGCAGTGCAGTGTCATTCATACATGTGTTGTCATCGATCAAGTCGACAACATTAAGATAAATAAGATTAAATATTTTATTTTCATAATTATAGAGATTTTAATATTTTTTTTATTTAGAGACTAAAATGTTAAAGAATTCTAACTACACGAGTAATATATAATTAGCCCATAATATTATAAAATATTTTGCTAACCCAAAAGAATTAAGAAATTTTAAAAAATAAAAACAAAATAATTTGCATTCATGCTTGAAAAATATGGAGACTATAAATAAATATCTTTTAAAAAATATTAAATATTATCTTTTTTTTTTCCTCTAGAAAGTCTTTCATATTTTACAACACAAATAATTTACAATATAGAACATTAAAGAACAACAATCAATATCTCATACGAACTCCATTATTATAGGGGTTAGCATTGATAGCTACGATACATTGCTTCCAAATTATCACTCGAACACGAGTCTTACTTGATGGACTTAAAATGATTGATCTTTTGAGGCTCTTTAAGATTACAAATTAATCTAACTTTTTATAATTAATCAATTATACCAAAATATGGATAATAAACGAGGGGATAAGCAAATACATAATTGTTAATTTTACTATGATCAATAATAATAATCAATTTGTGTGTTTTTTATAAAGATTATATATATATATAGGGTTTTAATATTTGTTTGAGTCTAATGAGTCTTATAAACTTTTGTTGTTGAATGCTAAGAAGATTAGAGATAGTTTGAAAATAAATCTTGATAGACATTGATGTGAAAAGAGTGAAAGCACAATCAAAGGGTGTGTGTAGGGCCTCATGCAATCAATCTCTTTTGCCCAATGCACATGCAAAAAGAATTGAATCCAACCTAAACTTGGTTAAAAGGCAATTTTGTCATCACTTTTTGTACATTTCCTTACAAAAGAGATAAAAAAAAAAAGATAAAAAAAAGTTAAATCTACCTCAACTTTGCTGACAAATAGAAATGCAATTGTCTCCATCTTGACATCATCCAAATTTGCCTTTAGTCTTGTCTTATTAACATTCACCTCAAGAAGAAGAAGAAGAAGAAGAAGAAGAAGAAGAATAGCTGGAAGATTTTTTGTTGTTGTTGTCTTGAAGTAAATAAAGGGCTGTTACCAAAGCTTGACTATGATGTGTTTGGCCTCCCAATCATGGAGAAAATTAGATGACAAAAAGATATTGCAAGAAAGCAATTGAGTGGGAAGGGCCACATGTTTGGATGTGTGACTTCTCAAATTGAGAATGTATGGAAGAGGAAAATTAAGATTCAAGACATGCTTTGCATTGCATGGAGCAATGATAGGTCTTGAAAGAATAAAAGAAATCCAATGCACCAAACTTTCATCAATTCTACCACTATAAATACAGAGTATATCTTCATGTCTTGAATTTGGATTAACTATATTATAGATACTTAACAATGTTAAATATGATTCAAAAATAAAATAGTAAAACCAATTCAAATAATAATCTGAATTATATGCAACCATGAGGGTTAGATATTTATTTGACTTGTAATAAATTAGTGGGGAACTTTTAGTTGACCAACTTTTCAAATTGGTCGCTATCATGACAAGATTCCTACAAATACATGTACAATCATGTTATTGAATGACAAAAGTTGAACTTTCAATATAATTGAAGGTTATGACTAAACTTGTAACCAACAAAAGTGGACATTTCACCCAACAAGCTAAAGTGAATTCTTGGATTTTGGCTCTTAGCCACAACAACTTTATTTCCAAGCTTCAAATTCTAAAATTTTTCTCATCATTTTATCCTATATATGATAATGACATGTTTTTCTTCTCATATTGAACTTATTTGACATATTTAAACCCATTTCAAAGGGTCTTTAATGTCAAATCATATTCAGTTTTATTTTGAGATAGACATGATATTAATCTTCTTTTTCTTTTTTCTTTTTTTACTTTGAAAACGATAAGCAGGAAACATTTAGTTTGTACTGTGAAATATTTCTATTGATTAACTTACTATAAAAAATACATTCAACACGATAACAAAAATTAATTATTATTTATTAAAATTATTTCATCATCGATTATTAATTTAAATATCGAATAGATCATGTTAAGAAATTCAGTCAACCTTAATCTTCATGTAAATCAACTATGAACAAGCATCCGAGACCCCTTTAGCAATCGAGCGAGCATTCAAGCCCCTTTCTTTGTTTATGTATGATTTCTTGCCCCATGTGGTCCTCGATCGAGTTAAGTTAATCAATATATGTATTAATTATTATCATAATTAGATATTTGATTTTTTTAATTTATATATGAATATATTAAGAATAATTTAAAAGATTAAGAAATAACTAACTTTCTTTTATATTATATATATATATGTGTATATTTTTTAAAAAAATAGAATTTTGAGAAATTCTTGTTGTAATTTTTAAATTCCTATAGAATTTTTTAATGATCATTTTATTTTTGTCAATCACTATTCTTTAACCAATCCATAGGCGCCTAATCACACTTTCGCCTCGAAATTTTTTAAAATTAAGATATTTTATTAAAAAATAATTAAAATTAGAGGTTTTTTTT